TAGAAAAGTCTCAGCTGTTTAAATGGAGGCTTTTCAGTCCCAAAAACATAGTCAATGAAATTTAACCATCCAGTGACACCCCTATTGGCAAAAAGCACTTGTTAAACATTTGATTTTTTTTTTTTTTGGTCTGGTTGTGGGAATAAATTATATCTAAAGGAAAAAAATACATAGTAGACTTTTGAGGGAAGGGCGGAGGGCTAGAAAGTCCCTATATATCATGCAAAGCGGGTGTTTAAAAAGAAACTGTGCTATTAAATGTTAAACCAGAAGAACATCTGCTCATTTAAGAACAAGAAAGAAAATAAAGACAGGGACCAAGATTCCTGCAAAGGGGAAAGAAGCGTCCAGGAGCACACCCTAATTTGCTAAGTCACGTTAGATTTTGGATAAACTCGGAGCACTTTCAGCGGACGGCAAAACCATAACACTTGTGCCAAGACAAATATTTTCCAGACACATCATTTTCAATGTAAATCTTAATTTGGCCCATAGTTTTTTATCTTTTATATTTAATCTTACAATAGGAAAATTAATTCAAGAGAAATACGGCATGAAGCAATTGTAAAGAGTTAGTTTTTCCTGAACCATATAATCTTCCAATCAAGATATAAACAACCTATTTGGAATTCTGAAACTTGAGAATGAGTTTAAAGAGATCTTCAGAAAATGTCTCTAATAATGGTAACGACAGAGGAAACTGGCAGAAGAATTGTGAGCCGGAGAGTCCAAGGCTCTGAATTTGTTTTTCACATTCATCCTTGCAACAATTAGCTGTGTCTGGGGTAACAGTTTCGAAAACTGCCTAATAGATTTTTTTTCCCCATATGCTTTGATTAAGAGCTGTACACAACTAAAAGTAAAAACAGCCAAAGAGTCCCCTGGTCCTTTTCTGGTGGGACACCAGAGACCTTTATTTAAAGGAAGGCTCTTTGTGTTTGCTGCATTCGTAGATCTCCTTGGCATCTCATAAGGATGTGGTCAGCCTTCAAGAGGCAGAACAGAGTATCCTTGAATTTGTTTCATTTCCTTTGAAATTGTTTATGAAAACCAGGCAATTGTGCTTTCCTCCTACCCCCATTTTTTTACAAAAACAAACAAACAGAAAAAATGCCAGCCCTGTAGGAGAAATATCTTGCTGAGGATTTGAGAGGGGATAAAGTTCACTTCACAACAAATGAAGATTTTATTTTAGGCTTTGAATAACCAATTGCTGCAGGAAAAGCATGTATGAAAGAAATCCTGACAAAATTCCTAGAAAGAAAATATGTCGGGGTGACACTCTATAACCGTATCGGAGAGTTCGAAGAAATTCATTTACCGACTTCTTTGTGTGCAAAAAGAAATTTCCATAGCTTCCCTTGAAGCACATGAAATATGAAATAGCTTTTAAAGAAACATACATAAAAGTGTAAGGGGACCCTTCCACAGAGATTTGAGGTTTTAAATTATGTTAGGGGAAAGTAAAGCATTTTTTTTATTGATATATTCACTCTCTGTCCCTCAGACTTTTAACTTTTAAATGACAGATTATGAAAATGGTGTATTTCTCAAGTTTTTAAATTTTTTTTGGTGCAAAATATTGAAGTAGTTCACATGATAGTTATTTATTAATTTCAATTTCAGACCAAATGGGGGAGGACTTAATGTCCCATTCCCTATCCTTATATAAATTTTAAGATAGTGATTGTATCAATATGTGAAAATCATAGTATAGGTAGGAATTTGTGGGAGAATGTCTTATCTCTGGGACCAAAGATGTCTGGTCCCCAGTCCTCATTCTCCCAGCATTGGCCACTGTTGATACTGGGCGATGGGGCCAAGGGCTCTTGCTGAAATGGGAGCCCTTGATGGGTTTTAAAGTCACTCTGCCTGGGGACCTTTGAGGAACTAACAAATATGGCCTTGAAGATAGTACTGTATCTCTACTATCCCCCAAAAGACCTATACCAAGGTCTCAAAGTTAAATTCTGCCCTAAAAAGTTTTCAAAAACAGCAACTACAAAAAAGTTGCTAAGTGAACATCCCTATAAGCTGATTTTTTAGCCTTTAGGAAGAACTTGTTTGTTCTTTTTTAGGATGCTCCTTGTTCTTGTTTTCTCCCCATAGACAAAGTTATTGCTGCATTCAAAATTATGCAAATGAGAAGTATGTGGCAGGGGATTAAAAGAAATTTATCACAAAAATGTACATATATAGCTCATGGGAGAGTGCGCATGTTCTGAATAAAATCCTGCTCTGAGCTGTTCAGCTATAACACTACTTAGAATATTCCATTTCTTCCTTAAAGTGACATACCATGAACTGAGTTTCAAATAAGTATCTTCAGGAAGGATACTATTAATTTAAAATACATTTCTCTTTTATCTATTGCCACCAGTATTTTTCTTCTATAAACTGATGGATTCATAAGACTGCTTTTTTAAAATTTAATACAGCTTACTTACAACAAAATATTTTCCCTTTATCATTATCTCCTTTCATTAAAAAAGACACATTTTCTGTATTCTTATTTTTTTTTTTGATTCTTGCTCATCAGATCAGCACACAAATATGTGTTCCTTGATTTGAAAGAAGTGTGTTTGGCACTGAACAACCTTGGTTTTAAAGACTTTAAAAATAGAGGTACCTACTCTGAGCCAAGATAATGTATTTAGTATATTAATATAGCAAGTGAAGTTTATGAATTTTTCAACTGCACAATGTATATCTGTATTGTTATTGAAATGAACTGGCATTAGGTTCTTCTTTTAATGACAAGTAATTTAAAAAGTGGGTTTCTTATAGTTGCTAACTAAAAGATTTTCAGGCATTGAAGGAATTGGCTTAGTGTTTACACATACCCAGCATCATATAAAACTCCACTTATGGGAGTTTGTGAATTTTCCAAGTTTACACTGTAAAATTATCTGTAGAAGCTCAAGAAAGATAATGTGAGTGGAGGCAGAGGTGGTAGGTGTCGGTAGTGGTGGAGGAGGAGGAGGAAGAGGAAGGGGAGGAACTACAACCCACCTAGGTGGGAGAACATCCTGAAGTCATTCTTCCCAGAGCTGTGCATCCTATTGATACTTTATTGTGTGCCTTTCAATTTCCTGCAATCTCATAAAACTGTGCTTTGCTGCCAATCTCTATTTTTGAGAATATAACTACTTTTCAGACATTTCAAAAGAACTCTTTCACTGCATATCTCAAGAAAATGTAAATCCCTGGAATGTCTTTCAAAATTTGGACACACTGTTGCTTTACCACACCCTCCCACCTTCCCACCTGTGTGTACATGCAATAATGCCAGGGAAATGGAGGGTAGCCTGCTAGAGGAGAAAGAGGATAACCCGCAGAAGTTGATGAATGTCCTCCCTCCCCTGGCCTCTTGAGGCTCATTGAAGATGGATGGGTTAAAAGCTTTTGTTCAGGAAGAATTTGTTTGGCTGTAAGATTATGCAAACCTTTCCCAAAGGAAGCCACGGAATCCCAGATTTTGAATTGAGTTAGGATGCGTTTGGGATGCAAGACCCACAGCCCTGCCCCACTGGAGCTCTTGCCCCCAGGGTTTTGCTGCCTGAATTAGCACCAGCGCCTGCAGTCAGAGCTTGGCTTTCCTTTCTGCAGGAGGGTTATGGACATGTTGTGCAGTTGTGGACCCCAGTGGTTAAATATTTTGCCATCACTGTGTTTTCTGGGGGCTCTTCACTCAGCAGATTTATTTTGCTGTTGCTTTTATGGAAAAAAAAAAATCACTTCCTCTTTTGTGTGGCCATTTTCCAGCTGCAAAATTAATTATCCACTTACTTCCACAACAGGAGGTGTTGCAAGGGTCAGTGAGTTTGAGTTTGGGAACACTTCATTCAGCTGATCTGAAAGGTGTTCTTCTGTTATCACGTTTTTTTTTTTTTTTTCTTTTTTCTTTTGTCTTTTAGGTTGTCTTACTCACCAGGGTCATTAAAAAAAAAAAAAAACTGAACTTTAAAGAACGTGTTTGCTTTTCTGGCTTGTCTTTTAACACGTCTTATATGGGCATCGTTAGTTAGAGAAGAAAGGAGTATTTAGGTAACAAGGAGGACGTTTTGCTTGGAGAATCTTTTACCACTGGTTCACATAGCACTGGGTGGGTCCTGAGTGTTGTGCTGGGTTGGGTGTAGAGAGGCAGCAGGCTGCACCTCTCAGAAGTCACAGAGTGGCAGCCCAGCAACCAAGACCCTGTGGGAGAGACGAGGAATGCTCTAGGAAGCCTTAGGGAAGGAAAAATGATTTCTAGTTACAGAAGCATAGTCAAGACAAGGGGAGAATCTTTCTTGAGACAGTGTGGAAAGACACAAGTCTCAAAACACCCCTACACAAAACCCTGATTTGGATTCATGTAACTTTTTTTTCTTTTGCACTACTGAGGATTGAACCCAGGGCCCCGTGCAAGCTAGGCAAGCAGCCTGCCACAGAACTGTGCCCCCCAGCCCTAACTTTTTAAACTTTCATTTTTGAGGTGCTGGGGATCAAATCCAGAGCCTAACACACGCCTAGCAAATGCTCTAAAACTGAGTAACACCCCTAACCCTCCACTTAAAAAAAAAATAAGCAAATGAGTATTTTAAATGATATGGGAAACCTCCAGATGGGATACATAGTCAGACATTTTTCTATAGGAACAGACGTAATTTCTCCCTGTCTCTGTCCCTTCTTTTCTTTCCTTTGAAATTCCAGTCTGATTTTATCACGGGGACATAGTGTAATCTCCCCTGTCTCTCTTCCTCCTCTCCTTCCTCCTTGTCCTTGTCCCTCCCTTCTCCCTCCCCACCCCCTTTCTCTCTGAAACTGCAATCAGATGTTATCATTGGGTATGATGTAATATCGCTGCCACTTTGAATTGAGGTCACAGTCTTAGGGATAGCTCTTTAACAGACTTCCAAAGAAAGAAAAATAGGACACGCGAGTTATTCTTTCAGCTCTGGGCTACTGTCTGGTGCTCCCTCCGTGCTGATGTCTTCTAACTTGACTGTCTCTTTTAGGTAATGGGACTCCTGACCAATCATGGCGGGGTACCTCATCAGCCTCAGACCGATTATGCGCTCTCCCCTCTCACTGGGGGCCTGGAACCTACCACCACGGTGTCGGCCAGCTGCAGTCAGAGACTAGACCATATGAAGAGCTTGGACAGTCTGCCAACATCTCAGTCCTATTGTCCACCCACCTATAGCACCACAGGCTACAGTATGGACCCTGTCACGGGCTACCAATATGGGCAGTACGGACAAAGTAAGCCTTGGACTTTCTAGGGGGTGATCACTCCTGGAAGGGAGATCAATTCACCTTTTGCTTAAGAAGGGAGAGCGTAAGGCATCATTAAGCCTTACGTCCCGGTACCAATTTTGTGGTGAGACCAGCTGATTGTTCCAGTAAGGGCTCCCTTACATAATTATTTTCTTAACTGAGGCCCACAACATCTTGTGGTTATTAATTGCTGAGACATAAAACCTGATTGCCAGTAGGTAAAAACATGAGGGTTGGCCAACGTGAAATAACCCCTGGCATTACAAACACATGTTCTTAATGAGGTCAGCTCAAGGATCACATGGGGTGTAATCCCAGGGACACAGAGTTATGTCAAACTTGTCTCAGGAATAAAAATATTAGTCTCAATCCTTTGATACCACGGTATTAAGTATGACATTGTCAGCCTGTAGCTGATACTGCCCCTTACTGTGAATTGTCCCAGCATGACCTAAAAAGCTGCGTGTTTCCTCACAGGTGCCTTTCATTATCTCAAGCCAGATATTGCATAAACGAACTGTCCACTTGGAGCTAAAACTGGCCCTGCTTCTGGTCTCCACAGCCTAGACGTGAAGAGTCTTCTCAGAAAAAAAAAAAAATTCATCCTTTGGGGGAGGTGGAGGCAAAGAGCATCAATTGATTTTCTTTCTGCAAAAGTTGGTTTCAGCTTCTTTTGAACAGGATGGATGACCGCAGTGGAGAAGATAAGGACCTGGAGCCACAAAAGACTCAAGCGACATTTCAAAACAATGGCTCAACCTGACTACAAATCAAAATATGCCAACTCTTTATTGCTGATGATCAAGGAGCTCAAACATTCCATTCTGTGTGTGTATGTGTGTTTATCTGAGACTTATGGAGTGTTTTGAGCAAGCAGAATGTTCTAAAATATATTCGGAGGAAACTCTATAACACGTTTGATGTCCAAGGCTGACGCTTTGGCGACTTTAAAACTGCTCACTTATCGAAGCAGGAAAGGAGGAATCCCTGACTTGTACACACTGGAAATTAATCTAAAAATAAAGGCCACCATATTTTAGGAAGCTAGACTAGATGTAAAGGACCTCCCGAATAATAAATTATTTGTTATCATATCCTCGTTTAGAATCTAGTTGTCAATAAATGTCCCGGACACGTTTTGCCAACAGGATGTGAGATGACAGGAAGAAAAGCTTGTTTTTCTTTTCCGGTGTGGGGAGAGGTGTATGACATTTTTCCAATACACCTTCATTTGGAAGCCAACCCGGGCAGGGGGAGGGCACGGCCAAGTGACGTGAGTCACATACCTGCTTTTCCGTGTGCAATACTGTGTACCTCACAGACACTTTGGCCACGGCCAGAGTGATAGAAATGAAACCAGAACTATATTTTTGCAGGGGCTTTTATTTTTGCAGCCTGGAATTCATTGTGGTAGAATGCAGTGATGTTTGCCATTTGCTGAACAACCCACACCCGGCTTGCTCCTTTTGATTAGAGACCGTGTCAGAGAATAGTGCTTTTTAAAATGATGACGTTTACATTCTTCTCTTTTCTATGAAAGGCAGGGCAAGAGCAGAAATGTCCACGTGGCTCTCATGTACTTTTAAATTATACAATGATATCCAATATTAAAAGATTATAGGAACCGAGGTTTACATACGTTTATGTGGTGACATTTTAGAATGTCAATAAAATTTTTTTTTCTTTTCTTTGAAATGTTAAGAGGAACAAGAAAGGTGGAAGGCAGTGTTATTTATTTCTTTCTATTCTTGGAATCATGAATGAGGTAGGCACAAATACATTCCTTTTAGAGTGAAGAACGGTGACTGTAGTGCATTTAGTGAGACGACACTAGGTGTAGAACTGAGGTTCGTTCCTGCATTGGACAAGGGCGATGGAATGAGAGAACTAGGATCTTTGTGTTGCAGCCTCAGCCAACAACAAAGTGTTGTAAAAATGTCTTTCATGTAAAAAGTGCAGTAAATATTTACTATTTATAATGAATAAACAGTTATGAAAACTTACCCAATCCTGCTTTTTTTTTTGGTGGGGGTGGGGAAGGATGGTGAATTTAGTATAATAAAAACCTTGGCCAACAGAGCAGACCGCACTTCCTGATGTCCTTTGTTGATGGGAAGGAACCTATTAGGGCAAAGGACAGATAAGGGCGTGCCACCCACAGTTGTGTTCTCTTGGAGACACTTGGGTTGGAATCTGTATTTCCAAAGCTGTGGAATGCGGGCAGGCAAACCTTCCACCTGTGCCCCCCCCCCCCCCCCCCCCTATTCAGAACTGTCACATCCCTTCACTGTCACTTGGAAGGGTGTTTTCCTCAGTGTGCTGGGCTCCATCTTCATCCCCAAGTGTCCTGTCCACTGACATTTTTATTTGAAGTGCTTGTTAATTATTTATTTTGGCAGCTCCTTTCAATCTTCGTAAGAAAATCAGTGCCCATTTTGTTCACTTTTCTTTCTTCTCATCCTTCTCCCCTGGTGTCTGCCTCTCTCCTTCTCTCTTCCTTCCCACACTTATTATTTAATGGAGTCTGAATGTGCCATGCATGGTGTTGGACACTGGTGTTACGGCAGGGCCCGTGACCTAGTGGATGAGGCACAGGACCAAATGCACTGTTTCGTCAAGTGTGAGGCCTGTCATAAGGGAAAACAGTCATAATACCTTGGAGCTCTTCACTTAGTCCTCCATTATGTCAGGGGATGCCACTAAGATGCCTCCTTTACATATGAGGAAACTGAGGCATAGGGAGCCTATGTGAAATCACCCAGTGACAGTCTGGTTTCAGAACCTAGGTGCTTAAACTCACATTCTTCTGCTTCCTTCAGTCTAAACTGATGTGGAGGACTGTATGGTTAAAAGACCTGGCCAGTTTGGTAAATGCTAGTCATGCATGGTTATTTAAATTTGAAGAAATTAAAAATAAATAAAATTTAAAAAGTCCTTCAGCTGCACTAGCTACATTTTAAGTACACAATAACTTCATATGGCCAGAAGCTGCTGTATTGGGCCACTTTGCTGTAGAACATTCTGGAACATCATTGCAGGGGCTTCTGGTGAACTGACCTAAAGTAAGTGAGTTCATCTTTTAAAAATCGCAAGGACTTAAAGTGCAGCAGGTACAGTTTTTCAAATTTTAAATGTTTTACCTCATTTTGACCCATATACTTACTCTTTTGATCAACCTATTGCTCTTTTGCCGACAATGATCTATTCTAAAAGTAATATAAGGAGAGAAAAGAAAGTTAATTGTCAACGAACACTTACTTTTGATATGTTGTTCAGTCCTCATGAATGGACCAAGGCCCAGTGTTGCCAAGCCTTTGGGCCTTGGCTACATGTGGCACAATAGCAGAAGCAGGCTGAGACTTCTACTAGCCTCGAAGCAGAAGCTCTTTTAGTTTATAACAATGCTGCTTGTCATACCCACTTCATTATGGCAACCTGTGCTTTTGCCACAGTCAAGTTGAAAAAAGCCGTTTAAAAAAATGTTAATTTACCCCCAATATTACTGAAGAAATGCTACCAGGATTTGAATTTTACAACAGAAGCTGGTCTTACATGATCACTTTTCTTTCCACCTCCTGATCTTAGAACTCAATGGGCATGACACACGTCTCTTCTTGTACCCTCCTCTTATTCCTGTATCTCTCTGAAAGCTATTGCTCTGCTGGTGTTTCTCCTGTTAAAAGTCTCCATAGATCGTTCTTCCCTGACTTTTTTTTGGACAACTATTCAATCTCCAGGGGAATGAGAACTTGAACCTGAAGCCCACACTGAGTTGGATTCTATAATCTCATTCCACAGGGCAATCTGCCCCTTAAGGCTTTGAACCCTTGGCCTTCAACCAAGCTTGAACCTACCTATGAGGTTCCCTTGTCCATCTAGTTATTGGAGTCCATTTGAAAACCCACAATGAAAACTGAAAATCAGAATTTGAACTCATTAATTTGCGGTTATAACAATTTTCCTAGGAATAGATATCAGATTTCACATCTGTGACGGAAGCCTTTAATTAGCCCAATGTGCAAGTGCATTTTTGCACACACTTGGCTACATGAAGATGGTTAGGGGCATCTTTATTGGTGTTGGCATTTAAAACCAGAGTAAAGAGTGAGATCACTGGCTCATGGTTGTGAGTTTAGAGAGCCTTAAATGGAAGTCGGAATGGATTAATCCACACCTTTTGTGTGAAATTGGCATATAAGAATCTATCCTCACACTACATAATTAAGAGTTAAAATTAACACATGGGACCAGCATCGAGATGACTACAAGAAGGAAGTTTCTCCTGAGGATAAAGATGTTCAATTATTCTAAGTGAATGATTTTTTGGTGTTTAATCATCTATAGATAAGGAGAGCTAGGGTCAAACATGAAGGAACACAGGTGGAAAGTGGCAGTATCTGTTAAAAAAAAAATTCATATGACCAGCCTTAGCTTCAGACAAGTGCAGAGCTGGGCACGGGTCTTCTCGCCAAATGCCTGTGGTACAAGTTTCTTTTACCTTTGGAATAGATTTCCTGAGGATTGCTGAACATTGTGCCCCAACATCCCAGAACCGAACCATGTCTGACTCATACTGGACACCAAATCCATCTGTTAAATGAATGAAAGAATGAATGAATGAATAAATAAATACTTTCCATACATGATCTTCTGAACCAGGGCACCTTTGGCTCAGGACCAAAAGCACACAGATTTCTTTTTTTTTTTTTCTTGGCAAAACTTCAAGTGTTTTATTACACAGATTACTTAAGGTTGGAATGGTGCAAAGACTTAGGGCTTGAGTGGGAATCACAGAGCCTAATGAATCCCTTAAAAGCTGTCTTTTTGATATTTCTGATGACTGCAGAGGGAACTAGGTGGTGATTTGATGGATTCACCACTGGGAGGATTAGAACCAAAAAGCAAAATGCTTTTTTTTTTTTTGTTTAGAAAACTGGGTCTGACGTTGGCTGTATTGTGATCTGCATAATTATAAAAAAGAGGGACCAGTACTGGGGTCCATACTGACCATCGAACTCAGAATCCACAGAGATGGATACAAAGAGGGTTGACAAAGCAAGGGCTTGGGAAGATGCCTCTGGCTGGCTGGAAGCCTTGGTTGCACCTGACCAGGGAAGTTTTCTGGGCCTGGAAGCAGTGGTCAGGGCTGTTCTGATAGCACACCTGAGAGAGGAAAGTCGCTCTGGAATATGAAGACACTTTAGCCTTATCTTCCCCCAAACTTCTCTATTGTCTTTTATTTTGGGGTGGGGGTTTAAACTCAGGGGCATTCAGTCATTGAGCCATATACCCAGCCCTATTGTGTATTTTATTTAGAGACAAGGTCTCACTGAGTTGCTTAGTGCTTCGCTGAGTTGCTGAGGCTGGCTTTGAAGTTGCAATCCTCCTGCCTCAGCCTCCCAAGGTACTGAGAGGCTTGTGTGCCTGCCTGGCTTACTGTTGCCTTTTAAGGTGGAGAAGACAGCAGTTCTGGTTATGGTGCATGGGGATGAGCCTTGGAATTAAGAGGGTGAGTGATGTCCACTTGCTGAGCAGTGTCTTTTCTTCCCGGAAAAAAAGGAGGCCTATGGATGCTTATGAGGTCTCTTTGTGCAGACACTGGTGGTGCTTGGTCTCTTCCTCAAGAGGCATGGTGACTCTGTGGTCCCAGGGGATTTGGGGAGTTCTAAGCATGGATCTGAGGACATTGGAGACTTTCCATCATTCTGCCTACAGCTCTTGAGCCTGGAAAATATCTCTTCAAACGTGAGCTCTTCTCACTGTAAAGTGAGGGAGGTAGGCAGTGGTTTATTTCCAAATTAATTGATTAGTGTGTTGGATATTGACCGAGTTTCTTCTGCAAGCTGGGCACTAGGTTTTCAATGATGAGTAAGACAAAGTTCTTGCTGCCAAAAGACCCCAGGGAAGAGAATGAACCAGATTATTAAACACACAGTTGCAACACAAAGTAAAATGTAGCAAAAGTTAGTACAGGGACCCAAGGAGAAGGTACAGCTCCACCTCCACTGGAAAGCTTTTCAGAGAAAGTGTTCCTAGGGCTGAATCTTTAAGATAAATAGAAATATAGTGGGCAGATGCAGCCCGTGAGGAGCACTTTCAGATGACGCCAGACAAAGGAAGCCAGGGAGGCCAGATGGGGATGGAGGCCAGATGGGGATGGGGCCTCTCAGATTCTTTAGTAGAAAGAATCTGTGACCAGAACACTCTGGGAATCCCTGGTGGAGAGGATTGAGAGGATCTTAGGTGAGGCACAAGGGGACAACTCTGTCTTTCCAATTAAGAACCTCTTGGAAGAGCAGGGTACTGTGGCACATGTCTGTAATCCTAGCATCTCCTC